TGGCGTGCGGTCGACTCCTGAGGCCGGGGGCCAGCAAGAGGAAACGCAGGCCTCTTGCGCCTTTGCCGCCGAGCAGGCGAGCTGGATCGCCCTCTGCCACTCCTCGCACCTCTCGCGGGAGTGGAAGATCAGCGTCCACCGCTCCTGCGGGGTGCCGCGGCTGAGCTGCGCGCGTCGAAGGATACGCCCCGCCAGGGATGAACTCCAGGTAGGAGGACGACATACACAAACATGTATACTATACGCATCTATGCACGTCTGTCTAGCAGAAGGCCGGGGGTGATCGAGACCATTGCTCTGCTGCCAAGGTGCAATCGGAGAGGACGACACGAGAAGGAGGAGGAGGAGGAGGAGGAGGAGGGGAGGAGGAGGAGGAGGAGGACGGGGAGGAGGAGGAGGAGGAGGAGGAGGAGGGAGGAGGAGGAGGAGGGAGGAGGAGGAGGAAGAGGAGGAGGAGGAGAGGAGGAGGAGGAGGAGGAGGGGAGGAGGAGGAGGATGAGGAGGAGGAGGAGGGAGGGCGAGGAGGAGCAGGAGGAGGAGGAGGAGGGGGCGAGGAGGAGCAGGAGGAGCAGGGGGAGAAAGGAGGAGGGGAGGAGGAGGAGGAGGAGGAGGAAGGGGAGGAGGAGCAGGAGGAGCAGGAGGCAGGAGGAGAAGGAGGAGGAGGAGGGAGGAGGAGGAGGAGGAGGAGGAGGAGGAGGAGGAGGAGGAGGAGGAGGAGGAGGAGGAGGAGGGAGGGGGGAGGAGGAGGAGGACGGAGGAGGAGGAGGAGGAGGAGAGGAGGAGGAGGAGGAGGAGAGGAGGAGGAGGAGGAGAGGAGGAGGAGGAGGAGGAGGAGGAGGAGGAGGAGGAGGAGGAGGAGGAGGAGGAGGAGGAGAAGGAGGAGGAGGAGGAGGAGGGGGGGAGGAGGAGGAGGAGAGGAGGAGGAGGAGGAGGAGGGAGGAGGAGGAGGAGGAGGAGGAGGAGGAGGAGGAGGGCGAGGAGGGCGAGGAGGAGCAGTCTGAGGAGGAGGAGGAGGGGGAGAGGGATAGGAGGGCGAGGAGGGAACAGGCAGGCGAGGAGGGAGAGGAGGGCCGGGGCCCCGGCAGGTCGGCCAGGTCGGCCGGTAGAAGCTCCCCGCTCCTGCCGCGGGGCGCCCAGGCTCTGCCAGCCGCCGGGGCGCCGCTGCACCTCTCGCTGCGCGGGGGGGGGGGGGGAAGCGGCCCTATAGCTGTGGACGCCATGGCAGTGGGCATTGGGCGCCCAAGTTATCCAGGGTAACTCGGGTCTGGGGTAACGCGGGTTTGGATTCCCGAAAAACGAACCCGAGTTAGCCCTGACCCGAGTTACCCCTGATGATTCGGGGCTCTGGACGCCCGAATTATCCGGGGTAGCTCGGGCCTGGGGTAACTCGGGTTCGGAATCCCGAAAAAACGGACCCGAGTTAGCCCTGACCCGAGTTACCCCTGATGAATCGGGGCTCTGAGGACATTCGAACACTCCGATCGTTGAATGTGAGCTTGCGTGTAGTTGAACTGCTTGAAGAGTGATCTTGGCATGCGTCAGACAGATGTGCTCTACATGTTTACAGCATGTTTGGAACCAGGTTGAGACGTCCAAAACCTATGTGGCAAAATATCCGGACGCCACGACAATGGACACCCTAACAGTGTTCAGAATAAACATGGAATCCAAAAAGTGTGTTCCGACGTTTGAGCAGGTCCGTAAACTGCGTAAAACAAACATGTGCTTTACATGTTTATGGCATGTCTGAGGCAAGCTTGGGACACCTGGAAATTCTGTGGCAACTCGCTCCTCTCCATGGATCGTCTTCCCCAACCCTGCAGGCGAGGAGAGCACGCGCAGCCGCCGGCCCCCTGCGCGCCGCCCAGAGCCCGTTTTTTTGTGCCGGCCTCGACGCCGATGTTTTGTGCCAGCGCGTGCTTTCGCCTCGATTTTTAAGTCGGGCCTGTCCCCCTACAGGGGGATCTTCGACGAAAGATAAAAAAATACCCTCACAAAAACCGCCCAAGCAGATTCCAAGCATCGTCTGGGGGCTATGTCTTGAGTATGTTTTGGCCTTTTTGGAATATCTTTCAGTTATCTGTATTTTTTCGTCGAACATCCCCCTGTCACTGTAGGGGGACACGCCCGACATACGCCTCGATGCCCCTTCCGAGCCTCGACGCCCCGTGCTTTTTGCGCTGCCGCGGCGTCCGGGGCCCCAATTGCTGTGCTGGTCGCGATGTGCCCAGGCCTCCGCCGCCTCGGCCCACAGTCCGGCCGGAGCGTCGCGCGCAGGTTGGGACCCTCCTAGGAAGGCACCAACTATACACCAACACCGATCCTGGGCCAGGATCGGTGTTGGTGTATAGTTGGTGCCCTCCGACCTCCCAGACAAGGTCCGAGCAGATGGGGTCCACGGCGATGCATCTGAACGGGCGAAGAGCGGTATACCATAAACTTTTTCGCTGTCGGGGGCGCCTGTCCCAGGGCGGCTAGACAGTTTTTTCCCTTACGGTGGCACCGTAGGGGTATAAACTTTCGAGCCGCCCAGGGACAGGCGCCCCCGACAGCGACAACAATTATTTTATACCGTTCTTCGCTCGCTGAGCATCGCCGCTGCGTCGGCCATGCACTGGCGACGTCGGCGATGCGCCGGCGGCGCCAGCTCGAAAGACATCGGCCTCCGCATCGAGCCGCGCCGGCGATGCAACGGCGGTGCGGCGCCACCATATCGGACCCCACCCATACTCGGACACCATCTGGGAGGCCTGGAGAGCGCTGCTGGCCTGGAGCCCCCTGCGCCCAGCCTGGAGCCCGCTGTTGTGCCGGTCGCGGTGCCCAGACACCCGCCGCCTCGGCCAAGCAAAAACTGGCAGGCATGCTGCTCCCAGGGGACTTGGCCCCTCGGGGAGCACACCTCGGGCCACGGGGCCGTCGCCGCGCGACGCGGGAGGCAAAGCCCGCCCCGGGGGAAGAGGTCCAGACGACCTCCGGGGGCCCCGCATCTAAAAGCTCGAGGCATCGGCTGTCTGGGTCATGCCCGTGCCCGGCCCAGCTCCGCCCCCCTCCCCCATCCCTCTGGGAAGGTCACGCTTCGCGCCAGCGCCGTGTGGGAATGAGCCATTGCACCTTGCAAGAACAGGAAGTTGCGCTGCTCTCGTATTTCGAGACAAACTTAGCCAAGATAGCCTGCCAAATTTGTATGCCTCTACTTAGGCGTCGAACTACAACTGCGATACGTGTATAACCTTTCGTACCATGGTAAACTTAACGCTGTGTTCCGTACCCTTGCGAAGCGATCATGAACATGGATGAATTTACCAATTTTGCATATCCACTCCGAACGCCTCCCTCACCCTCCCTCCCTCCCCAGTCCCCGCTCCCTCGTCCCTTCAAGGCAATACCGTCCTCATCATGACCTTTGGCATCAACATCATCATCACCAGGATCGTCATCATCATCAGCAGCACCATCATCCTCACGATCACAATCAACTTCATCATCATCATCATCATCATCATCATCATCATCATCATCAGCATCATCATCATCATAATCATCATCATACTCATCATCATCACCATCATCAGCAGCAGCATCATCGTCATCATCACCATTATTACCATCACCATCATCATCACCGCCATCACCATCATCATCATCATCATAATCATCATTATCATCATCATCATCATCATCATCATCATCATCATCACCATCACCATCACCATCACCATCACCATCATCATCATCATCATCATCACCACCACCATCGTCACCACCACCATCATCAGCATCACAAACATCCTCCTCCTCATCATCATCGGCATCATCATCACCAACATCATCTCTCACACATACACACACATCATTGAAATCAGGATTGACATCAACGCGCTCACACGCCCCATTACCACACGGCCACATTCCCATCTCGAGGAAGTCTCGAGCGGGATCCCGGTCTGCGCGTGGAGGCGGGGAGGTCTCGAGCGGGAGCTTCCCCCCTTCGGAGGGCCCCCGCCTCGTGACTCGCACCCCGAGCGGGTCCTCGGAGAACTCGTGTCCGCCGTCACGCCTGGGCTCCCGTGGCCTGGACGGGAAAGACGCCTCGGGCGGGCGCCTCCTGCGCGAGCGAACCGCGAGAACCTCTCCGGCGGGAGCGACCTTACCACGCCACGGGCTCCCCGCCGCTGGCCTGCACCCCGCGGGGTGGGCCCTCGGGGAATTCGCGGATGCCGTGGGCCCCCGCCTCGGGAAATCCGTGGATGCCGTCATGACCTGGGGCTCCTGAAAGCCGGTGCACGAAGGACGTCCCGAGCGAGGGCCTCGCCGGTGAGTGCATCGCGAGGACGGCTCGAGCACGGCCTCCCCCAGGATGCCCCCACCCCCCCAGGTTCACCAGCCTCGAACTGATCCCTATCCCGGATCCCTAAGCTTGACGCGCCCAAAGGCGATGACAATCTCAGGGATGCACCCTCGGAAACTGAGGGAACCCCTAAGATCGCCATCGTGATGAGGCGATGCCCAACATAGGGATAGGGATAGGTTCCAGGCTGGTAACAGGATACTATCCTTAAGTCGGGCCTGTCCCCCTACAGGGGGATTTTCGACGAAAAATTATGCACTGCGTGGAGCTCCCCATATGTGCATCTACTCGCATGGACCTGTCCGCCGTGAATGTCTAGGCGCAAGAGCTTTCGAATATTAACGGGCTTCAGTTGTGACGGTCTGGACATCAATCTAACTGCGAATGAATTGGAGTGTGAATGAGCCTCAGTAGTACGAGCGCGTCTCTGTGCATGAGCCTGGGGCCTCCTGGGGCCTCCTGAAACCTACTGGGGCTTCCTGGGGTCTCCAGGAGCCTCTTGGGACCTCCTGGGACCTCCTAGGAAGGTTTCGTGCCCCAGGAGAGGCGCAATCTATAGCAACAGACGTACATAAAACATTGCGGATTAGAGCCACAGGAGAAGGGCAATCTATAGGAACACGCGTAAAACACCAAGGACTCGTGCCCCAGGAGAGGCCCAATATATAGTAACATGAGTAAAACATTTAGGATTGTGTACACAGGAGAAGGACCATCTATAGAAACATACGTAGAACATCAAAGAATCGTGCTCCAGGTGAGGCCCAATCGATAGGAGCATACGTAAAACACATGGGATTGGAGCCACTCCTGTTGCCTTCTGAGGCCTCCTGCTCCTGGGGCCTCTCGGGGCCTCCTGTTGCCTTCCGAGGCCTCCTGGCGCTTCCTGTTGCCTCCTGGGGCCTCCTGTGGTTTCCTGAGGCCTTCTGGAGCTTCCTGGGGCCTCCTGGAGCCTCTTGGGACATCCTGTGGCCTCTTGAGTCTTTCTGTGGCCTCCTGATGCCTCCTGGGACCTCATGTGGTCTCCTGGAGCCTCCTGGAGCCTGTTGGAGCCTCCTGTGGCATCCTGAGAAGAATCTGCGCCCACGAGCCTGGCCACCAAAACTAGCAAACCGATCGAGACATCCTCAAAATCTGGCCCACCTGGGGGGTGAGCGTCTCGCTCGAGACATCCTCCAAATCTGCTCCGAAAGCGAAGGATGTTGGGCACAGAAACAGGCAAACCGCCTGAGACATCCCCACAAAATGGCCGCGAACGAGCCCGTGCAACCACCCCTGGCGGCTCCCCTTAGGGGTGCTGAAATGAGCGCCTCGCTCGAGACATCCTCCAAATCTGCTCCGAAAGCGAAGGATGTTGGGCACAGAAACAGGCAAACCGCCTGAGACATCCCCACAAAATGGCCGCGAACGAGCCCGTGCAACCACCCCTGGCGGCTCCCCTTAGGGGTGCTGAAATGAGCGCCTCGCTCGAGACATCCTCCAAATCTGCTCCGAAAGCGAAGGATGTTGGGCACAGAAACAGGCAAACCGCCTGAGACATCCCCACAAAATGGCCGCGAACGAGCCCGTGCAACCACCCCTGGCGGCTCCCCTTAGGGGTGCTGAAATGAGCGCCTCGCTCGAGACATCCTCCAAATCTGCTCCGAAAGCGAAGGATGTTGGGCACAGAAACAGGCAAACCGCCTGAGACATCCCCACAAAATGGCCGCGAACGAGCCCGTGCAACCACCCCTGGCGGCTCCCCTTAGGGGTGCTGAAATGAGCGCCCGCTGACATCCTCCAAATCTGCTCCGAAAGCGAAGGATGTTGGGCACAGAAA